CGGGGGAGGGCAGTAACTGATAAATGTGCCAGTCTCGGGCGGTGGGCGACACTGTTACATTAGCGGAGTTATACGTCATTAATGTATGCTCAAAATACAAAAACTGCGCATCATATAGCGGAGAGTGACACAAGCAACACGTCTGTGTACGTTTCATGCTGCTATGTGCCCTAATGTCGTAAGTATTGGTCTGTAAAACTGAAGCAGTGTGATTTTCAGCGAGCCTTTTTCATTGATCGGGCATCATCGGACTAAGTGTTCATCCAGAAGTATCAAACTTATTACTAATCCCGAGATGCTGCTATGAACAATCTACTGGCCTTTTCGCGAGGCTTAGAAATTGAACTTTACTTTTCCCTGACTTCGAACGTCAGCGGTGCGTCGCATTGACTCTTCCCTCCATCATTCCGTGCTATGAAAAAGAGTTAATTAAGGCGGGAGTCGCGCTCGAAAGATGATTCTGACCCATGGTTCAGAATGCGACTGATTGGCCTGAATTTGTCCAGATTTAGTTCTCACGGACAGTTACTGAATTAGTGGAATGCAATATAGTCTATATGATTGTCGGCTCGCGATATCTGCCTTCGGTGTTTCATGCCAGCGCTCACTTTGCAGGCGGTTTTAGCCGTTGCTACCGAAATTTGAGATAACTTTGTAACATCCATAAAACACCTGCGCGTCGTTCCACTGAGAATTGCACCTGATGTGCCGTTAGGGATTTACGACGCACTCAGCTGCTGAGGCTATATGGCTTTGTCTGCCCCTCACTCTGGCAGGAAGGGCATAGACCGCGGGACCAACCAACCCCCGCATGGTTACCTTGTTTGGTAGCCACCTTATCGGGGAATTTATACAACTATAGAGATCTGACACTCACTTGCATAGCCTGCCGCGACGGTGACAGCAAGCCTTCAGATCCCAAGTGCTCAGCTTGGTGATGATGCACTCGAAGAAATTCACGAGGTAGAGATATCTATCCCGCCCTCACATGAAACAAATCGGTTACGTGAAAAACGCTCGTGCGTTGCTTGTATGAAGCGTATTTTAAGGCGGTTTCAATTACGCGTCATGCTTTTCCGTTGAAAACAATTTTAGTTGAAATTTCTGTTGTGCTCCGCATAAGAAGTGCTATGCGGAGGACTATACATACATATATATATATATATATATATATATATATATATATATATATATATATATATATATATTCGCATATATTCCTCTGGCTCCATCAAACTGTGGTCGTCTTAGGCCCATTTAAACAGAGCTATCTAGAGGGCCAAGCCTTTTGAAACACCTGAGGCCCCACCAAATTGTGGCCGTGTTAGTGCCAATCAACACCAGCTTTCACCTTCGTATGGACGAATGGGTGCCGTTCCTCGTGCTGGTGTTCGGCGTGGTCGCGGCACACAGCCGTTCGTGCGGGTAGACAAAGGTGGCGCGCTTGTTACACAGGTGGCCTTCAGCTTCTGCAGAGCTCCCTGCGCAATGCCTATTGACGACGACAAAAGAAGCAGGCATGCAAGGCCTGGCACAGGCACAAAAGTATGCATGAGAGCAATGGGGGTTTGGGGGATTGGGGGGGGGGGGGGGGCAGGGCAGCCTGCCACGCCGAGGATCATGCCAGTCCGCGATCAGGCGCCGAGTCCTTTCTGTTGGCGTGTTGCTGCCGAAAACAGTTGCTCCCCCGCCCCTCCCCCCCCCGTTCCCCCCTCGTCCAGCCCCTGCCTGCGGTCCTGCGATCGACATGAGCAACGGCAGGGCAAAGGCAGTCCGAGGTCAAAGGAGTGAAAGAGCGCCGTCTGCCGGAGGGTGAAAAGCTCGCTCGTCGCATCGATGCCAGCGCTATAGATCCGTGACAATTAACCGGGAGGGGAGCGGGGGTGTTGCCGGGGTAGACGCTCGTTCAGCGCCGCCGCGCTCATCATCTTGCCTTGCGCGCGCAGGCTAAAGGTAGGTATATAAATGCCGAAAATGACAAGGTCTCGTACGTAGAACATTAATCAATGCGTAAGGGCGTTTGTTGGCCTTGGATATTTATATATAGCGATTATATTGGATATATATATATATATACATACATATATATATATATATATATATATATATATATATATATATATATATGTGTGTATGTATATAGCGAAAATAGGAGGGTTCGGTGGGACGATGGCGGTTGTACCACATACCTATTTGATTTCAAGAAGATGCCTGAATGAATTGTGCGTTCTATTGGTAAATCACCTGAGCTCGACACTTGCTGTAAACAGACCAGTAAGCTGCAGTATGCGTCGTGGTACGAGAGAAACGACAACCTGTGTGGTACGAGAGAAACGACAACCTGTATGGTACGAGAGAAACGACAACCTGTGTGGTACGAGAGAAACGACAACCTGTATGGTACGAGAGAAACGACAACCGGTGTAGTACGAGAGAAACGACAACCTGCATGGTACGGGAGAAACGACAACCTGTGTGGTACGAGAGAAACGACAACCTGTGTAGTACGAGAGAAACGACAACCTGTGTGGTACGAGAGAAACGACAACCTGTGAGGTACGAGAGAAACGACAACCTGTATGGTACGAGAGAAACGACAACCTGTGTGTCACGAGAGAAACGACAACCTGTGTGGTACGAGCGAAACGACAACCTATGTGGTACGAGAGAAATGACAACCTGTATGGTACGAGAGAAACGACAACTTGTGTGGACATAATTTGTCTCTCTTTACAAGTGGCATATGTTGGAAAGAAGTCCTTTGAAATGGGTGAATGAATAAGCGAATGTATAGGGAATCATATGGGTGAGGCTTGAACATTTGGATGTACTTGTACAGCTGGACACAGTATGGACAAGATGTACGAATGTGGTGTGAATTTTCGTGTCCGCGCTCAAACGTCCCTGTGGGAGCGTTTGATAAATTTCACTCACAAAGGTTTGGCACATTTTAACTATGTTAGCTGGCAGAACTCCAGTTGTGTAACAAGGTGGTACGAAGGACGTAAAATCGCCTGCAATCGGAGACTCGATTACCTTTCTTTCGACGTGCACTTCAGCTTTTTAGCTTTGCGTCGATCCCCAGCCCCAGATGACACGCCTATCTTAATCATAAGCAGGGGATAAAGCAGCATAAAACACAAATGCGATCATGGGCGCTTGAACAACCGCCAGCAGCTTCAACCGCCTTTTTTCTGAGCGCGACATTCAAGTTCCTCCGTTTCCAGCAGAGGACTCCAGAAAGCTAGACTCATGCACATCAAGCCGTGATATTTCAGCCCATTTCAACCCGAATGACAAGTGAAGCACGCGTGGGCCTCGCGTCTTCTCAAACTGTCGTGCTTAGGCGGTCTTCAATCCGTTCCAGTACGTTGGTGCCTGCCAAAATGGTCGAGAAAACGGATACTTTCCGGCCCCGAAGGCCAGACCGGCACTGGCTAATATTAGCCAGCAGCGGCGCCGCGCTGCGTGCTGGAGAGAGCCGCACCGGAAGCTGATATCCGGTTACGCAAAAGGGAGACTCTTAGGAACAGTCGGATAGGCGCAGATGAAATACCGCGGGTGTTTGAATGCACTCCGGCCGTATAAAGGTACAGATGCAGACGAAAAGCAGAGCAGATCGTTTTACTTAATGTAAGCAAAAAAGGACTGCAGCTCTCGTTCTTTTGGCATTATAAGTTCCGAGTTCTCATGCTAAGTTATCGATTATATACTGTATATTATATTCTAATATATATATATATATTATATATGCATATATTCAACATGCCAGAAGGTGCTGGTTAAACGATGTTATGGAGGAAATATTAGTTGAATTGACAGCTCTGATTTAAGACGTTATTCATTTTAGACGGTATGGCTTATTCATGGCCTGAAAATGGCCATTGTCCTTGGTCTTGAAACGAAATAAATACGTAAAATGGCGGCAAGATGCGTGTAGTTAGTGCGTCCATGGTTTCCCTTGAACTAACTTTGAGAGTGCACGTTGGAAAACAATTAGTCGAATGGTAACATGTCATTTACCCACGGGAAACCCTCTCATCGTTCTTCGTGTTTGCTGTACCTGGTGGGTTGATTGCTGGCGGTGAATTGTTTGTCTCTTCTTGCTATCGCAGCGTTATGCTTGCCGCTAAAAGAGCCACATCGCATACAAAAACCACAGAAACATCGACCATAATCCGAGCAACTGAGCGAGATAAGTCGGAAAGGGTAGTATTTTTCAAATGAATACTGATGGCTCCAGCACACATCTTGCCCCCTCCAGTCTCCATAACACCACTAAGGGAACACCATAAAGAAGGTGCACGGTCCACCACCATTATCGCTTGTCAGGGCGTCGATCGTCTTTCATTGGTTCTTGTCGACCAGTGCCCTAGTTGCTGGGGCTGTCGCTGAGGCGCCTTCGGCTGTGACGCACGTGTGCTCTTCGCATCCTATCATGACTTGGGTTCTTCGGTCGCTCTCTACATATCTGCTAGCCCACCACGTCTCAACCCGCCCACGTCTCATCCCACTTCTCTTTACTCTCCGGGACCCGGTCTCTCAGAGCCGGCACCACTCTCGCAACCCTACTGGCGTCCTCCATCTGATGGTTTGACATTTTCGTCTTCTCCAAGGGAGGGAGAGGGGGGCAGCGTTTGCCCCTCTTCTCTGAACCCTGCGTCGTGACGCCTAAACCGAACCGCGCTGATGGTCTGCTCGCGGGCAACCCGACCTGCCAATCAACCACCCGCGGCTAATACCCACCCTTCTCCGTTTCAGTGTCCGGCGGCGGCTCCACGCGCGCCAAGCCGTCCCCAATGAGCCGGCCACCTGTGGATGCCGAGAGGCCGGCGCCGGCGCCGACGCCGGCGCCCGCCGAGGGCGCCGCCGGGCCCGGCCGGCTGGCCTGCTCGCTGCAGTCGCTGCGCGGACGCCTGGCGCGCGGCCGCAGCCCCGACTCGCTCCCGGGGTCGACCGCCGACGGCGCGCAGCGCGCGGCGCAGAACGGCGCCGGCCAGTCGGCGGGCGCGCGCGGACCGGGTGAGAGGACCGGCGCTCCAGCGGCGAGGACCGCGGCCGCGGCAGGGGAGGCCGCTGCGGCGGCAGGACCGTTGAAGGCGTCCGCTGGGTCTGGCGCCGCTGGTGGACAGGCGAAGGGTTCTGATGGACCTGGAGGATCCGGTGGACTTCTGAAAGGCGCTGCTGGAGGTGTTGCTTTGGGTGGGCCAGCGAAGGGCTCCGGTGGACCTGGAGGATCCAGTGGACTGTCGAAGAACCCTGCTGGAACTGGTGCGTCGGGCGGCTCGCTGAAGGCGTCCAGTGGGCTCCCTGTACCCGCTGGATCTGGCGGGTCTGGGAAAACAGAGAAACCCACCGGCGAACTCGGACCCAACGCCGCTGCGCGCGAGGCAAGCGTGGGAAGCGCTTCGGACGCCGCAGGCACAGCCGCTTCGCCGTCCTCCGCCCCGTCAGCGTCTCCAGCGCCGACAGCCACCAGCCCGGACAGCGACCGTCCCCACGTGTGCGGCTCGTTCTTCTCGCCGTGCTGCGCCGCGCGCCGCGCCGGTGCCGGCGTGACGACGTTCAGCGGCGCGGCAGGGCGCGCCACCCGCCGCCGCTCGCCGGTCAATCTCGCGAGGATCCTCTCGCGCCCCGTGCCGGCCGCCTCGCCGCCGCCGACGCGCAAGAAGTCGAGCATTGTTTACTTCCACCCCGAGTTTCAACCGGGCGTGATCGGAGAGGAGGAGGCGAACGCCGGCAGTTCGAGGTGAGTGACCTGGGAAGGAGGGTCGCGAGGTCACGAGGTCGCGAGGTCAGTGACATAGAGAAGGAGATCACGAACTCATCGATCTAAGGAGGAAGGTCAGGATCTCATTGACTTGGAGAGGGGGTTCACAAGGTCAGTGACCTGGGGCGAGGTGGTCACGAGGTCATCGGCGGGGGTGGTGGCAAGGGGTCGCGGAGGAGTCTGCGACAGAGTCGGTATGCCCAGGGGTTGATGGCATGCCGTATGACAGGATTAGTGTCTCTGCACTGAAGTCAGGAAGCAAACGATCGAGGGCCTTAAGTTTCGAAACTTGCCTTTCCAAAAACCAAAAGTGAGAAGGTCAGTGCCTGCAATCTGATAACCTCAGTGACCTGAGGTCAAGTAACAGAAGGTTTGGGTGATCTGATCTCTGGGAGGGGGTTGCGGTCAGACACTTGAGGTCACGAAGGAGACACAGGGACAGTGGCAGAGGCCAGACGCCAGAGGACGGCGCAATGAAGTCAGAATAGGGTCAAGAGAACCTGTGTCGGTGACTGGGCGTAAAGAAAAGGAACCTGATAATAGGCTAGCGGCATGATATGGGCCATCAAAGAAGACGAGGGCTGGTGGTGGTCCCTTGTCCCGAAGACGCTGTAAAGGTTAGAAAATAAATGCTTGAGATGTGAATTACCTCCGCGCATGTCATTTCAACTGATATACCGTCAGAGTATATCATGACTAGTGTCGCTTGTATTATGTAATACTTCAACTGAATATTTTGCCATTTTACTCTAGTTAGTGGGGGCAACCCCATGATAAATCCAAAGTATTCCAAATTGTCTGCTTCAGTAGTCGACATTTTTCGATGGCGATTCGATTTCGATGTCAATGTCGGATTCGCTGTCCAACTCCCCGCATTCTTTTGTCATCTATTCCGCATGTTAAACGTCAACAGAGCGCTATATGAGATATCGATATTGACATTCCCGAATAGGGTTGTGAGCGGTTGCGAGGCCTTGCAGCGTCTTACGCAGTATCGGTTGTTGCCGACTGTCGGTTCAAGTCGTCTATCGCTGCTGCGCAAATGCGCGAGCAGTGCATTCCAGCGTAAGTGAAGTATTGCGTTGTTGAGCCGTCTTCGAAGCCCAGCCTCCGCTCGATTGTTTCCAGATCGGTTCGCTCGGTTGCGACCGATTGTCTCACCATCGCTTGAATGAAAGTGGAGCAACATGGTCCTTTTCAACAAATACAGATCACTGGCAGCTGCTCACAAGTCTAACAAGGTTCCATCGTTCAAACAACTAGCATGTGAAATCCTCCGCGATGGAGAGCATTTGTCGAAAGCCGCAGTCACCAGTCGCGCTCGTGGTCACGTGCAACTCGTGGCCTCCGGGCTTGCGGCCGGTGGTTGGCCACACACGACATCGGCCACGATGGCTTGTGCTCTGATGTAAACACACACTGCGCGCATGTTGTAACATCGAGAGAGCCGTCCTGCGGCCCCACAGGCGTGACGTCACAGCCGTGGGGACCGCGTCGGCGCGGCTGTGGCTTTGGACGGGTCCCAAAGGCGCGCGGCGATCCGCGGATTGTCTCTGTGGGACACCAAGGCTAAGATAGAGAGATGCATTTGTATGGAGTAGTTACGGGGTGGCACGGAGGGCTTGGCGAGCTCCGGTAGGAGAAAAAGAGAAAAAGTGATAATGGATAAAGAAGGATAAATAAAAAATGTGACGACCCAACGTCTTGTCTTGTGCATTTAGCAGAGCACATAAAATGGCTGAGGGTTGCGAGTACCCTTTAAATGAGTTTTTTCTTCGCCAGCAGTCGTCCGGAATACAGAACTCCCTAAATGAGCTTAGCACTGTTGTAAGCACACCACACTGTACTCGGCGCTAGTCATCGATTATCATGACGCCACGTCTTGACGTGCATTAGCCAATCACAGCCAAGGTTCGATCAGCACTTGGATGGCACTTAGCAAACTTCTCGTGCGGGAGGCAAACTATTTACGTACTATTTTGCGATGTTCACACCTATTTCGGATTATTCCTTTCAATGACGTCACGCTGTTCCGACAACTATCATTACCGAAGCCGTCACGCTCGAAATGAAACCAAACTAACTGCATCTGAGATAGCAAATAGAGCGTTTTGAGAATCAATCGGGAGCCGTTCAGCACGCCATCTCAGTTCCTCCCGGCTCATCGGTTCTCGAATCGATGCCACATTCTGGAGGCCATTGCAAGTCCAGAGCGGTGATCTGTAAGAGAGGTGAAAGTGAACTTTTGAATCTAGCGGCTAATGCTGCCAGTCATGGAGTGCCACAATGGCATGGAAGATGATTTTTTTTTCTTCTCAGAATTAACGTGGAACCAAACTTGTTCTACCAAGCCCCGCCCTTGAAATGGACATGGAAACGTTTTGTAAACACGGGACGATAGCAAGGACGAAGATGAACATTAATGCCGGTTTAAGTGTGCAATGCAAGCAGGGCCTCAGGATTGCAGGCTAACCACGGGGCAACGACCCCTGGTTGTGATGAACATCACCGTAGCTTCGTCAGGTTGTCTCCGTATTGTTGTCTGTCTTACGGAGCGAGATCCACCATGAGTTGGATCCACCATGAGCTAGATCCACCATGAGTTAGATCCACCACGAGTTAGATCCACCATCAGTTAGATCCACCACGAGGTAGATCCACCACGAGTTAGATCCACCATCCGTCAGATCCACCATGAGTTAGATCCACCATGAGTGAGAAGCAGCGCTCGTTTACCCAGTTCTTAGCACGCCCTCAGATATCCTTGTTGGAAGTCCCAGTGCGTTGCCAGAACGTGAGAAATTATAAAGATAATTATTTCACCTTCCAATCTCTGCTTCTGGTGTCTGGACATGAGAGGCGTGTCCTGTTATATAATCAGCCAGGAATCCGCCGGGCTAAATAAGCGCATATGTACGACAGATGCCTGCTTCTGTGATATGTACCCCCAGAATCTCAATCAAATAGGTCAGTCATCTCCACCAAGCGTATGCTTATATACAACAAGAAGGTTGACTGTGTGCCCCTGCTATTTTTCTATGCTATGCTGTATGCCCTGCTTTGTGTCTGACGCCCCTGCTTTCTGACTCGGGTGTGAAGTTTTGGCGCACAATTCTTTCACTGTCATTTCTTCACGTCTTTATGGGGTCGTGTGACAAACATCAAATCTCAGACGACCAAGCTGCGCTCTCAGTCTGCTTCAGAGATTCATTCTGACGACTGAGACTACTCTCATCCTGAGTGGTCATACGGACTCCGGTTCTCGTCGAGGGTATACCGGGACGCTTCGTCAGGCGTTCTCATCGCCTCAGAATTCACGCGCCGCGGTTCACACTCATTCACTCATGCCTCGATTCACGATCTCAGCGTTCACTCTTCACACGTTCACACGTTCACACACAGCCACATCTCGAACAGCCACTTATTCCGGCGCCCCGACCCCAATCAACCCAGCAACGCATGACTTGGCTTGAATGATTGTACGGTTATATGTGCCGCAGCACGATATTCAAAGCAGCGGAGCTTCAAGCGTGACCTAGTCGGAATTCAGTGACAATCAGGCTGGCGTCGGCATTGCAAGCATTGCGATGCAAAACTTTAGTATCGGCCGAGTGTAACGAGTATTACGTCATCCGCCGGTGTCCGCTTTCCCTGCTTCGCTCTGCTTGGTTACGTAATTTATCTTTGCTGTTCAGAATTACGAAAAAAGCAATGCCATCATTAGCGCTCCCGAACAGTGGTGCGAACGTTAGAGTTTGGGAGCGGGGCCATTGGCTATGTCGGTGATGTCAGGGGATCCGGGGGATTTACCGATGACACTGCGACGGGTGATTCGATGACAGAGCAATGAAAGATCCGGTGACACCACAATAAATTTGGCCGCTGCAGATCTTCGACCACGTGCTCTTTCCAGCGCTTCGCGGTCTGCCGCTGATGAAGATAAAGTATGCCGTCTAGGGGACGGTTTATGGCGACAGGATGATTATTGGCAGGCATGAGAAGGTAGGCAGGCAGATAGATAAAAGATAGAAATATAGTAGTAGATAGAAGGTAGACAAGAGATAGACACGTGCTGAACGGTGCGAAACACGCGGGCTGGTCAGTTTTCCGACGAGATGTTTCTCAGACCAATGGTCATCTCGTGAAGAAAGTCTTCTTTCGGGAGCTGCGGACGTCGGAGTCAAAGTGGTCGAAATTGATATCTGGTCTTCAGTTTCTTTTTCTAATGGAGCATAATTCTCCTGACACGGCACGATTGTATCTTGGAGAGAGCGCCCTGTTCAGGAAAGGTGTGATTTCCGTTGACTAAGACTCTTTTCTGACGAGGGACCCCACCTTGAAAAGAGCGCCGTACCTTGCCAAGAGCCCGTTCCCGGCAGGCCCCTTCGCTGGCGGGGATTCCATTTGGTGAAGAATCGTCTCTCTTAATCGGAGTTCCTTTCATTGATGAAAATCCGCTCCTCTGATTCACCCGTCTGTGCTGAACAGAGTTCTTCCCTTGATGACTATCTGCCCTCGGGAGTCCCCTACTGTGGCGAGACTTTTTGCCTCGCGAAAGACTTTCCCCTCTAACGAGTTCATCTGTCTGCCGAATCCTTTTCCCGGACGAGGGTCCTCTTCCCAGACGAAAGTCCTCTCACCTGACATGAGCCCTCTTCCCCTGACGAGAGCCCTTTTCCTTGACGAGATTCCTCTTCTCCGACGAAAGCCCTTTCCCCTGCCGAAGGTCCTCTCCTCTGACGGGAGTCCGCTGACGCTGGTCCTCCACCTTGTTCAGAGTCCTCCACTGACCGGAGTCCTCCCCTGACCAGAAGAGTCCTCCCTGGCCAGAGTCATCCCTGTAGAAAGTCATCTGCCCTGACCATCGTCCTGTTCCCTGACCAGAGTCCTCTCCTGGCCAGAGTCCTCTCTGCTGAGAAGACTCCTCCCCTAACCAGAGCCCTCTCCCCTAACGGGACCTCTCTCGCGCGATGGGAGCC